TAGAGGAGGATTGTAATTTTATCGAAAAGCAAGCCCTTATTGTTAGGACGGAAAGATCATCAAATAATGAAAAAATTAATAAAAAAATGGATTCCAGTAATACTGGAGAATTGCTTGCACAATCGACGTCCACCGAAATAAATAAATGTGTAACAGATGCATACAGTTCTCCTGAATCAGATACAAGCACATCTTTTGAGTCATGTGCATTAAATTCTCCTCAACTAGGTTCATTCAGTTCGTCCAAGTTAGACGCATTTAGTTCTTCTACATCAGAAGATGATCAGCGTTTTTCTATTAAATCAAATGAAATAAGTTCTGAGGATGATGAGTTTTTCAATTCTAATGAAAGCAGTGATGGCGACATAAATGACTTTTATTCGGAATTAGAACAGGCTTCATTAGACGAAACCAGTGAAGACAATTTTGAGGATGCTACAATGGATACAAGTGGTACTAAGGACACAAAAGATACAACTTTAATTATGGAATTGCGTCAGTGGGCACTGAAATTTCATATCGCATTTGTAGCACTAACTGCTTTATTGTTAATTTTCAGGTCATATACAGAACATATAAATTTACCGTTGGATGCGCGCACTTTAATGAAGACTGAAAAAATTACAGAAATCTTTGAAATAAACGGTGGCGAATATTTGCACCTCGGACTAACAAGAGCAGTAAAATCAATATTAAGAGAAAACAAAAGAAAAGGAATAACGAGGAAACATATTAAATTAGCTGTAAATGTCGATGGCCTACCTATTTATACCTCGTGCAAAGAAAGCTTGTGGCTTATCTTAGTTGCAGAATTGGATTCAAAGAAAGTGTATCCTGTTGGTATATTTTATGGCAGAGATAAACCCCATGATGCAAACGAATTTTTAAAACAATTTGCAGACGAAGAGACAAAACTAATCAATGATGGACTAAAAGATGAAGACGTTACTGTATCGATTGAAGTATTAATATGCGACACGCCAGCAAAAGCTTTCGTCTTATATTTGAAGGGACACACCGGATATGACAGTTGCACAAAGTGCAATATAGGTGGAACCTATGTTATAACAAGGAAAAAATCAAAAAAAACAAAAACAAACCGGACAGGTATGCTTTTTTAGGAACTGGCCCTTTTACATCGAAAACTGACAAAGACGTTCCAAAATCAGATGATCAGCCCATTCTAGTAGATATTCCAGGATTTGGTTTTATATCTTCCGTACCACTAGACTACATGCACCTAATTCTTTTAGGTGTAATGAAACGATTAATATCAATTTGGCTACTCGGGCCCCTAAAAGTAAGGTTCTCATCAAAAGAAGTAAATAAAATATCGAAAATGTTATTAAAATTACGTTGCAGCTGTCCATCAGATTTTGCAAGGCGACCACGAATACTTTCTGACTTTAACTATTGGAAGGCAACTGAATTTCGAACTTTTTTACTTTACACAGGACCTATTGTTTTGAAAAAAATTGTAAAGCCTGCAGTATATTCGCATTTTTTACTGTTACATTGTGCAGTTACAATTTTAGTTAATGAAAGACATTTGCATCTTCCATCTAATATTGATTATGCTGATGAGCTTTTGAACAGATTTGTCAAAGAGTTTCCAAATATTTATGAAGAAAAATATGTGTCACAAAATGTGCACAATCTATTACATATTTGTTCCGATGTTAAACGTTTTGGCTGTTTGGATAAATTCAGTGCTTTTCGCTTTGAAAACTATATGCTGTCAATAAAAAAAATGATTCGAAAAGGAGACAAACCACTGCAGCAAATATCACGTAGATACGCTGAAATGGAGAAAGCCAAAATAGAAAATGTAGAAATGTCTAAAACTTGGTCTTTTTATTCGAATATTATTTTAAAAGAAGAACATTACAATGGACCTTTAGTAAACAAAATTCCTTCGAGCGTTAACCAATTTAAAATATTCAAAAGTGAAACATTAACGATTAACTGCAATTACCCCAAAGATGCATGCGTTTTATTAAATGATGGAAATTTCGCAGTGATAAACAACATCGTGAAGCAAAGTACCGGAAAAATTAGCTTCATTGGAAGAGTTTTTTCACCTACTGATAAATTGTATGGGAATCCTGACACCAGTCTTTTCAATATACATTATGCTCAAAGTATGAGTTCAAATAACCAATTATTTGATCTCGAAAATATAATAGCCAAAGCGTGGAAAGTACCTTGTAGAAGAGGAATTATAGTAATTCCATTGGCTCATCATCATCATCATCAATAAAGAACAGAAGAAAACCAAGATTTTGTGATGTATTTTTTCCATAATAGTAAGTATTAATGTTATTATCTATTACTTATATTTGTTTAAAAATTGTATTTTGACAAAAACTTTGCTTAAAAAAATTTTTTCTTTGCCTGACTCAAACTGTCTTTAAGTACTGTTAGAGAATTGATTTCATTTTACTAAACCATTTATTAAAGATCTTTAACCTTATTTAATGATGAGTGTTGAAAAATTAATATTTTTCCAACTCAAAAATTAATAATGCAAATACTAAAAAGAATTCGAAAATGTTTATTGTTATATTTTTTAAATTTAATTAAAAGATTTGCGTTAATCTTTTTCTTAGTAAATTTATTTTTAATAATTATACAAGTTACATTTTAAAAACTTAAATGACTTTAAAAAAGAAATTATGGTTGTAATAACAAATGGAAGTAAATTTAAAAGAAATTTTTTTTTCAGATTTCTCATTGTCAATATCGAAAGTTTACCGAAAGTATACCATAAATGGAAATAAAAACCACCTTAAGAAGGAAAGAGCCATAAATTGAAGACAATAGAATCTTTTACAAATATTTTTATAGAATTAGCACACTAGGTATAATATTAAATTATAATTACTTTATTACGCAAAGAATGTAGGAAAAAAGTCGTAAATTTAATAAGATATTAGCAAAATAAAATTAAGTATACCATTTGGCTGAAATTTCACTTCTCCGAATTTCTATTTACAAGAAGTAATATTTCATAGAACCTTTAAAATGTCGAATTTTCATTTGTCCGCAACAGTAAATGTCCGAATAAACATTCGCCAATTACAAATCACAAGTATCAAATAATTGTGATTGTTTAATTTTTTAATTCGCGCAAAAATCCTTCTGGCAAATGTTTTTAATTACGTTGGAGCTTTAATTTATCAAGAAATAACATTTTTCGGAATATCATCTTTACTGTAAGTTTTCGAAACTACTAAATTTTTGAGTTTTACGAGGTTAACTTTATAAGACACAATGTTAATTTAATTCCAATTAATTCTGAATCTAGACGATTTAAAGGGTTTAATAAAAATTGTTTAAACATTTTAAAAGAAACGTACAAAATAATGATTTTAATGTTTTAAATTCAATTATAATTATTCTTTTTTTATTGTACAACATTTTAATTCAGCACAAAGTGTCATTATTTTCCAATTTTTTTCTTTAAAATGAAATGTTTTATATCCAGAATATAGAAAATATTGTAAAAACTTGTAAAAAAATATACAAAATAATGTTTGGGATATAAAATAAAAAGTATTTCATTTAATTACCATTTTATTTATATATCTTTATTTTCCATGCGTTCTTTTTGTTCTCATTTTAATCGACTTCATTATTAGCTATTAATATTTTTACCCAACAGTTCACGAATATTTAATTTAAAGCTTCGATCAAGTTTCGAGACGAAGCTTTAGCGAAATTTTTATTTCAAGTTTCAGTCAAGTTTTAAGTTGAACCTTTACTGAGACTTTAATTTCAAGTTTTAGTCCAGTTTCGAATCAACCTTTAATAAAACATTAATTTGAAGTTTCAGTCGAGTTTCGAGTCAACCTTTAACGAAACTTTAATTTCAAACTGCAGTTAAGTTTCGCGCTAAAGATTTACTCAAGGCGGACATTTAAATATTTATACAAGCTTTACTCAAGTTTACTTCTAAAGTCTCCGAAGTTTGCAAATAAAGCTTTAATAAAATTTTATTAAAATGTCGGTGCTATGTGGGTGATGGGTCTATTACCATCACCAGGTTTCCAATTTTGAGATTTGGTTTGCTCCTTGTCTATTTAGCCCTCTGCTGTAGTGTATTCAAATAGTCTAGGGACCATCTGCGCCAAAAGTGGTCGCGCATTCTACGCACGAGCTTCCAGTGGTTGAGGCGGTCTAAATTTGCTTCGGCTAAGAAAGGTTGAGGGATAGAAGTGAGTGCGGTACCAACTAAGAAATGCCCTGGGGTTAACACGTCGAGGTCTTCGAGGTCGCCAGTAAGCTGGATCATTGGACGGCTGTTGAGCACCATTTCTACCTCAACGAGCAGTGTTGCAAATTCCTCGTAAGTTAGCCTTCGAGAGCCAGTGATACGTCGAAGGTGAGTCTTCATAGACTTGACGCCGGCCTCCCAAAGGCCGCCGAAATGAGGGGCCGAGGGGGTATGAAAGACCACTTGATTTGATCTTGGGTGAGGAATTCCTTTACTCTGTTCCAATCAATTTTGGCTTCGAGAAACAGTTTGTGGAGCTCAAGGTCAGCTCCCCGAAAGTTGGTAGCGTTATCACTCCATAATTCGACCGGGCGTCCACGACGACCGACAAAACGAGACAGGGTTCCAAGAAAGCTATCCGTGGTGAGGTCGCCAACAAGTTCTAAATGGATGGACTTGGTTGCTAGACAAACAAAGACGGCGACGTATCCTTTAAACGTTCAGATTCCTCTTCCCTTTGACCTAGCGATTTGGAATGGTCCAGCGTAGTCTACGCCGACTCTGCTGAACGGCCTTGACGGATTGACTCGTGCTGCTGGCAGATCACCCATGAGTTGGGTTGTCGTCTTCATTGAGGTTTTGCTACAGACTACGCATCGGCGGACGAAGGATTTGACTTTGGCTCTGCCTCCGATGATCCATGCCTTCCTCAACACGTAGGAGTAAGTTACCGTCGGACCTGCATGAAGAGCTCTTTGATGAGCCCAGTCTATAATCAGGTCGGCTAGATGACTGTGGCTGGATAGAAGGGGGGGGGGTGTTTTTCCTCATCGTTAAGGGATGAATTTTCAAGTCTTCCACCGACCCTTAGGATGGTCTGTTCATCTAGAAACGGCTTTAATCGAGCTATGGCACTCCCAACCGGAACAAATTTACCTTGTCCCAAGAGTTGAATCTCGTGCCAAAAGTCTTGTTCTTGTGACATCTTAACACATGTAAGAAATTCCCGTTTCATTTCCTCAGTAGTTGTAGGTGCGAGCGGAGGGATCGAGTTGACCTGGGTATTTGGGGATTGGAATATTCTTCGGCATCGAACTAAGGCTCTCTGAAGTTTTATAAGGGAGGAGAATCGGTCGAATATTGTCTCGGTCGCTTGAGTTGCGAGGCAATGGAGAGAGGGCAGGGTTTCGTTGTTTGGGACGTTAGCAGAGCTAGTCGAGATTTCTTGAGGCCACTCTTCTTGGTTTTGTTGGAGCCAGGAGGGACCCTGCCACCAGAGTCGATTGCTAGCTAGACCTTCGATGTCGGTACCTCTCGTGGCAAGATCTGCTGGATTGGTTTCTGACGGTACGTATCGCCATTTGACGCCTGGTAGCAGTTCCTGAATGTGGACGATATAATTGTCCACCAATTCATTTCCCATTGGTTGAATTGAATTAAGCCAGCTTATAACCACTTGCGAGTCACTCCATGCGAAACAGTCGTGCAACTTAACGCCAAGTGCTTCGGCTTGTAGTTGGATTAATTTTGCTCCTAGAAGAGCCGCTCGGAGTTCTAATCGTGGAATCGTCATTCTCGCGTTGGGTTTGGTCGTGGGGATCAGGCTTTTAATCGGTGACAGCTTGGTTTTGGCTGCCAATAGGTGAGCAGAGTTGTTAGTGCAAGAATACACCGTCGCTGCCATCGCACGTCGGCTGGCTTCTCCGTAAGTAACGGTAAGTAGAGCGAAGTGTTCTTCGGGTTGATCGGGATCTGGACTCCAGATGATTCTTTGGAGATGAGTGTCCTCTGGTCTGATTCGGATTTGTCTGAACATCATCTTGATGTCAGCGCAGTACGCGACTTTGTACTGCCTCCAATGTGTAACGACGGTGGCTATATCACTCTGCAGTTTTGGTCCAGCGTAGAGGGCGTCGTTGAGACTGTGACCTGATGATGTCGGGCGAGATGCATTGAAGACGACTCTAAGTTTTTTGCTGTCATCGTTTCGCTGCCATATACCATGGTGAGGAATGTAATTGCTCTTAATAGAATTGTCTTTTATTTCCTGTGGAGATAGCCTTCTCATGTGACCTAATTGACAGTACTCTTTCATGAATCGGACGTATTCTTCCTTGAGTTGGTCATCTTTTTGCATTCTTCGTTGTTGTGTCAGTAAAACGAGTCGAGCTGCTGACAGACTTGATCCTAGCGATTTGAGCGCTTTGTTGTTTAAAAGTAGAGGGGCTATGTTGTGTCGCAAAGAGTTCTTCACATTTTAAATCGTCGGGGGAGATTCTTGGTCTGGTTGGAATCTCTTCAATTGACCAGAATTTTTGAAGGAGATTCGTTATTTGAGCGTTCCACGTTTCCTCTTCGCTTGTCATCGTAGTAGAGGCAACGTTCACTGTCGTATCGTTATCTCTTCCTCTGGTGACTCCTGTGATGATCCAACCGAAGACCGTGTTTTGGGCTAGGATTCGGTTCATTTTTTCGATTCCTGGACGGAGGATTTGACTGTAAACGTTTGCGCCGAGTATGATGTTAACTTTGGCTGGTGTTGCAAAGTCCGGATCGGCGAGTTTGAGTCCACTGAATTCGTTGACATTGTGATTTAGCACGGAAGTTGGAGTAGTAATGCCAATGTGATTAAGTCCATAAACCTCGACTTGTATCGGGTCCTGTTGACCTGTTGGATGTAAGAAGATTTTGGTCTTGACTCTTGCTGAGTCCATAGGCGACCCTGTTATGCCAGAGATGCTCAGTTGGTGATTTTCTAGATGAGTGCCTAGTTTCCGTGCCAGGGTATTCTCTATTAAGGTGGCTTCTGAACAAGGGTCTATGAGGGCTCGGGCTTTTATCCGGCGGCGTTCCCCATCCCCCAGGGTCACTAGTGCAGTCGGTAGCAGTGGGAGTCAGGATCGTCTTTCCTCTTGTTTTGAAGGGTGAGTTTCCGCATCTGTTTTTTGGGAGTCGGTCCAAATGAAGTTTGACCTGCTGGCCTTTTTTCTAGGCTGTTGTGTAGAGGTGTGTGGTGTGGTCGCTTACATGTTCGGCAGCTCTGCGTTGACGGGCAAGCAGAAGACAGGTGATTGGCTTTTAAGCAATTGAAGCAAAGTTTCTTTTGCTTGGCTAGGTCTCGACGTTCAGTGAGCGTCATTTTTTTGAAGGTCTCACAGTGTCCCACGTAGTGTGCTTCTTTGCATTAAGCACACTTTGAAGTCATCGTGACGGCAGTGGTTGCCTGTCTAGTTGATGAGCTGTGTGTCGATTTGGAAGAATTGGTTGTTGATCGGTTGCGACTTATCTCGAGTGACCTAAGAGTCTGACTTCGCCTCTGCAAAAAGGTTAAAAGTTGGTCGAAGGAGGGGTAGAATTCGTTCGACAGTCCGCCGACTGGAGTTAGCCTTTGTAGTTCTTCTTCCCAGTCTCTTCTTGTGGTTGAATCCATGATGTCGGTAGCGATGGACACGAACCAATCATCCCAGTAATCCACTGGACGTCCAAGTGCTCGGAGTTGATCCCGATGTCGTTTGAGTTCATCTATCAGTTTTTGAATTTCTGCCAGGGATTCCTCCTTGATGTGGCGTAGTCTCCTCAAGCTGATTAGGTGACTCTGGACTAGTAGATACTTGTTATCGTATCGTGCTTCCAACGTAGCCCAGGCAGTCGCGTAATTTTCTCCAGTAATTGGTATTGTTTGGATGGCCGTCGAAGCTTCTCCAGTGACAAGAGATTTTAAATAGTAAAGTCTTTCCACATCTTTCAAGGTCGGATCTTCGTGGATCATGGATCTGAATAGATCTTTGAAAGATTCCCATTGCTGTCGGTCTCCATTGAATGGGGCTATCGTAATCCTTTGTAGTCTTGATTGGGATGAGCTAGGAGGTTGAGTCGGTTGACTCTGATTGACCTGGCTCGCTGCGGGTCGTAGTCGGGTTTGGAGATCGAGCAGTAGTCCCCTTGCCATGATGTAATCCGTCTCCGTCTCGTAGTACTTGCCTTCTGTGAAGTATGGATCGGTGTTGATTGTTTCTCCCGCCTCGTAAATGAGTGCCACATGGTTGCTCTTGAAATCACTCCAGTAAGATTCCAATAGGTTTATGCGGCTGTCTATTAATCCTAGGGTCCATTGGTTTATTCGTACGTCCTGTGTAGCTTCCACTCCTCGCTTGATAACTGATGCCAGCTCGAGTTGAGGTCTTGTGTTCATCCTAGAAATTAAAGGGTTAATTTAGCGTGCAGCCTCACTGGCTGTAGAGGATTGTAGAATCGCTCTTGGTTTATTTTATTTCTCGACTAATCGTTTGTAGAGTTAGTCCTTGTTCAGGTGACGAGCAAGGCGTCAGCTTTGAAGGTTCTCAGTCTGCTTGACCTGACGGTCGAAAGCGATTCATTTACGAGGGGAAAATCCCCTGGTTTCTCATTTGTTTGGTTTCTCAATTTATTTTGTTTTATTATTCACAGGTAGTCGGATGACTCGTTTGGGGGTACGCATGAGTCTGTGTGAGGTACAGATAAGGAGGAAATAATAAGGGATAGAGAAAGAGATTGAAAGAAGGAGAGAGAGAGAGAGAGAGTTTTATTATTCACAGGTAGTCGGATGACTCATTTGGGGGGGTACGCATGAGCCTGTGTGAGGTACAGATAAGGAGGAAATAATAAGGGATAGAGAAAGAGATTGAAAGAAGGAGAGAGAGAGAGAGTTTTATTATTTACAGGTAGTCGGATGACTCATTTGGGTGGGTACGCATGAGCCTGTGTAAGGTACAGATAAGGAGGAAATAATAAGGGAGAGAGAGAGAGAGAGAGAGAGAGAGAGAGAGAGAGAGAGAGAGAGAGAGAGAGAGAGAGAGAGAGAGAGAGAGAGAGAGAGAGAGAGAGAGATAGAGAGAGAGAGAGAGAGAGAGAGAGAGAGAGAGAGAGAGAGAGAGAGAGAGAGAGAGAGAGAGAGAGAGAGAGAGAGAGAGAGAGAGAGAGAGAGAGAGAGAGAGAGAGAGAGAGAGAGAGAGAGCTAAGTAGGGAGCAGTGATAACGTCCTCTAGTTGAATGATAGAATTTAAATTATATAATATTGACTGGACTTACGGATCTGATACAAGATACCACGTCGTCCTTGCGTGTAATTGAATTATGAGCGTTAGCTAATAAACGGAAAAGAAGATGATTTTCACTCACATGTCACTCACTGATAGGTTGATAAAATCAACCAACGGTTCAGGTCAAGTCCTCTTGATGCTTTCAGCGTGGGTTCGTACTTCTCCTCCTTAAAATCCGGCTCGAAGGACCATTTTGTTATATTCTTTTGTTGAACTCTTTATTTTACATGAAATCGATTACATAAGATATACAATTCGTGATACTTAACAATTATCAATTAACAAATACACTTCGACGTGGGTTTGAAGTACAGCTACTCACTTCTTGCGCACTCGAACTCAGCTTTTATATTGGACTCACTGTGAAAATTATCCTTAGAGGTATTCCGTAGCCCACGCCCCCATCATAGGATAAGGGTGGGGACAAGACCCGCAGGAAGGGAGCGAAGATTCGAACGGGAACATTATTTCCCGAACAACCTCAAAATGTCATCATATGTTTATATTGTTTGAAAGTCCCTTTTTATAATTCTTTATTTCATTTGTAAAATTCTAATCATAAAAATCGATAGATAAAATGTAAATAGTAACAAGTATGCAAGAAATGGACTAGGAAACAAACAATACGCCAAATGGAAATGAGAATTTCAATACGACGTCGGATGAACTTAATCCTGTTATAACAAGTAAAAATATAGATAAATTTTTTTTAAATATATATTCACAGCTTTGGAATTTTTATTTTTTATTAAAAGAATGACTTTTACCTTTAAATTACATATTGTAATAGTTTGTTTTTATATTTGATAATAATCTTCTTATCTTGAAATTTATTCGTAGTGTTTTTACTTGTTTTAATTCTCAAGAATGTTATTATATTTTAGATTTCGTATATGTGCAAAATGATTTGTACGATTTTTTAAATGATACAGAGAACTTGATTGGAAATATCATACTGGCGAAATATGCCAAGTCAAGAATTTTATATAATGACAAGTTAAAGAAATTAATTATTGTTCATGAATTAAAACGCGACACGATACATTATAAGTAAGTATCTTTTTAAAATTTTTTTTAAGTATGAATAAAATAAAATTTGTAATCCAAATCACAGAATAAAGAGACACGAGTTTATGAAGATTAGAACAGAAATTAAAGAACTGTTTCCAACATCCGACTTTTTTAATAAATTTTAATTTACAGAAGGACAGTTACTAATTTAATTAATATTTTAAATCAAAATTATCTTGTCGTAGTTGGAAGCAGATTTTAATAATGTTTTCGCGGAATTTGTAAATAGAGGAGAAGCAAGTGTTGCCCTTTCCAGTTCATTCAAAACCGTATTTTTCAACAATTGGCCCACGCTTAGTACGAAAATTGTTCAACATTATAGTAAATCCAGGGTTAAAGAGATTAAAGACTTTTATTTAAAGTACGACGTATTAATAAAAGCAGGTACAATAGTATAAAATGATGAGATATTTTATGTATAAGCTTATCAGATGTATTCTAATTGATTTGCTAAATCGTTTTCTTATTTTAATACTTTTTTAAAGGAGCGCAAAACAGTATTTTGGAACTTCTTTTACTGCCATTAGGTTTGGCTGTTAAGAAGTCATTGAAAAAAAAGAACAAATTAAACTTTTCACTAAATCAGATGTACAAAGGTCGTTTTTGCTGGTGGTAGAGGTAAGAAGTGCGTTTAAAGAAATATCTCAATTTTTTAAGAGAGGGACATGTGAAATTTCAACCCTTTAATATTTACGTTGTTGAGGGGTGCCAATTTTTTTTCTGTGAGTATTAAGAATTTAAATTTATTTTAATTTAAAAAATTTTTTTATCATTTTCAAAATTCTATTCTTTGAAAATCCATACAATTGATTTTTAGAATCATGAAATAAGCTTAGAAAAAATCGACAATAAAAATTAATAAAAATTACAAAAGTAGTTCAAATTTTTATTTTTCGAAAATTTTCTTTTTATTAAAAAAATGGTCAACTAATTAATGTTTTAAAAAATTTTCGAAGCATGTTTTAATTTAAAATACTCAAATTTGTCAGAAAAAATTTACCACTCGTAAACATAAAAAATTTAGATGGGTTAAAATTTCACCGGCCCCTCCCCTTGACTGGAGATATATTTAATAAATTTCTTATTATATAGGATCTAGTAAATCTTTCTACAGAGCGATCAAATCAAGAAGACTGGTTGAAAAGTTACGATCTAACAGTCCATCCTTATGTCAGTGTATGCGGAGAAGTCAGTCCCATAACTGAATCCATGGTTATTTTAAATGGTGACAGATATTTGTTTGATGACCCACTCAAAGCTGTAGAAGCATGTTTTAAGTGCTTGATAGCACTTCGGTCAATGCCTTTGTTATGTGATTTCTTGTGGACATTTATCGGGAATTGCAGTGCCGGGGTCATCCATTTCTGCGATTCTTCTGATCAAAGACAGCGCCCTACCGAACACCTTACATGACAGAGGCAGGACACCCACCTCCAACCGAACAGCATAGCTAGCCGTGCATGTAGGAAGATGGAGCAGATCCTTAAAGAATGCTAGCTGCACCTTCTCAATATCCATACTTCGATCCAAGCCCCAGATCTGAACCGCATAAAATAATGTACTACAACTTAGACTCTCGAAGAGTCTTGTGTATGTAGACCATGTGTCCGCCCTTAGTCCATTTATAATTTTCAATGTAGACCCCAATGCAGCCTTAGCCGAGCTTACAAATTTTTTACTGGCCAATTCGAAAGACCCAGAACTCTAAAATATAACCCCTAAATACATAAACTCATCCACGACTTCAATCCTCTCCTCTCCTATCTTAAATGCTTTAAAATGTTTTACAGAGTGATTAGCGCTTTTTCTAAAGATCATAATCTTTGTTTTATTTACATTAATTTCCAGTGCTCTTTCTTCGCAGAATTCAAACAGGGCGGTCAGTTGTTTGACCAATTCAGTAGGGGAATCTGATAACAATACCAAGTCATCGGCGTAAGCAAGAATTGGGACATCGGTAGTACTAGTTATAGAGAGACCCCTGCACCCCCTACTCCGCAGAATAGTTTCCAAATCGCTGATAAACAAGGAGAAAACGTGAGGACTGAGTACCTCGCCCTGTACCCCGAGAAACACGAATAAAGTCAGTTGCCCCATAACGAGACCTGATACTGGCAGACGCCTTTTCATAAAAATCTTTTAAGATTTTTATAAATTTTGTACTTAAACCAATCGAGTGTAATTTTTCCCATAAAATTTCATGCGCTACCGAGGGGAAGGCGCTCTTAAAGTCAATAAAGGCCGCATAGACAACCCTTCCTGGAGAACGCAAATGAATTTGTAACAAAGAATTTAAAGTAAAAAGGTTGTCTACACAGCCCCTTCTCCTTCTAAAGCCTGATTGAAACTCCGGTATCACCTTAAACTCTCTTTCCCATAACAAAAGTCTGTCTGCCAATACCTGAGTGAACCATTTCACCACATTATTAACAAGTGTAATCGGTCGAAAATTGTCTGGATTTCTTTGGTCACCTTTTTTGTGCAACATACACATTATTAATTGTCCCCACGCAACCGGTACCTTTTCTTGCTCGAGAATTTTATTACATAAATTCTCTAAAAAAATAAACCAATTTTCCGGCAGGTTCTTTAAAAAACAAGAATTGATGTTGTCACATCCCGGTGACTTTGAGTCTTTAAATCTTTTAATACATTTAACTATCTCCTCATGAGTTATGTAACTGTCGAGAATCGGGTGACCAACATATGGTGCAGTGAAACAGTTCACAACCCGTACAGGGAACAACTCACGCAGGTACCGCCACCACGTCTCCTTTCCTATATTATTATTTACAGAGTATTTGATTCGTTTCTTATTCACAATAGACCAAAATTCTTTCGAGTCTCTCGAATTAGCAAGCCGATCAATTAGCGCATTACTATAAGCTCTCTTTTTTACAATTACCAATTTTCTAAAATTCGACTGAGCTTCAATAAACTTGCAACGCAGAGAAACATTAAAGCCCGCGTCTCTATATACTCGAAAGGATGTTTTCAGTAAAGATCTCGCGATTCGACAATCGTCATCAAACCACGGCTTATT